ATCTCAAAACTATGGAACTTATGTTATTTCCAGCGCCTTCTTAAAAACACAAACAGCACCCTGCGATATTACTAGGTATTAGCCTTGTGTTTACAACTAATCATGAGAAATGTTGGCAGGTTCGACATTAACGTTGTCCTGTTATAAAGTTAAGAACAAATAAACGTATAATCAAAGTTATATAATATGTTTCAAGCCAGTTGATCTCAAAATTATGGAACTTATGTTATTTCCAGCACCCTCTTAAAAACACAAACAGCACCCTTCAAGAACCCTAAAGTTTACGCTTCTTACTCTGTTCCAACATGACACTTGCGGTCTACAGCGGATCGGATTAACACGTCCATTTTGCGTGGCAGGTACAGCACGGTCAGATTTCCACACCCGTCTAAATTTATAATATTTATAAGGCTTTCAGGTGTGGAAATCTGACCGCAACTGAGGTGTCGACATGTTGCACGTAGGATTCTAAGGGGAAAGGGTTTGTGATGTTTTAGAAGTCAAGAAGCGCAACTTTTGGCACCCCAGTGTATATCCTCTACAAAATGCCAAACCTGGGAAGGTAAGACAAGTTTCTCTATAACAAAATGCCTTATATCAACGCCCAACCCGTGGCATTCTGTAGAGTAGAGTATACAGGCAGGAGGATAGTTTTTGAACAAAGAGACTTGCTTAGCCTGCTAGATGTCAGATGTCTGATGGTGATTCCCAATGCCCCTTGTCATGCTGCAAAAAAACAGCCAGCAAAGGTAGGGAGCGCAAGTAATCAATCACAACTGCACGGTTGGACAAGGCACAACAACCCTAATCACCAAAATTGCCTTCGCCTGGATGGAAATCTGGAGGGGGCTGGGTTCTTCTTACATTCTCAAAGAACAGTTTGCCCTAAGTGTCTGCTTGGCCTCCAAGTTTGCCTACAACTTGTATCCTCTTGTTTGGTCATGTTGGGTAGCTTTTGGTAAATAATGTTCTGTTTCAACTATTTTCAACTTCAAGGACGCTTGCTCAAGGAAATGTATGCTGTAGTCTCTAATTAGGCCAGGACAGAACTTCAAACACAGCCCTATGGGGAGTTGTGAATCCCTTGATGAAGCTTTGCTATCAAAAGGAACATCTTTGAGATGGCCACACATGCTCAGGAGCTTTGAAGCCCCTGTTGAAGGTCCCCTGTTGGGAAAGAACACTTTGCACTTCCAGTTCAGACCAATATCCTTTGTTTATATAGCTTTAGATGCAGGGGGTTGAGGCTGCTTCTACCTTGGAAGTAGCTGGGAGGTCTCTTCGAAATGGGTTTTGGCGAGATGCACTCACGTGGGCCCTGAACTTGTATTTTGAGTAAATCCCAAAGCCTTACTCCACTTGAAAAAAAACGTGTCTCTCGATATCTCTCCCGGGTACAGGTACTAGTTAGTTGTACACTGACCTCAATGTTACATATATACATCTTAATATGCCAGTATCATATACATATATATATATACCCCAGTATAAATACCCGACGAAATGGGACTGGCACTGACCGTATGTAAATACCGTATGCCAGCTCCCACTCCAGCTCGGTGCCTGAGGACGTTTTGTGTCGCGTCGTCTTCGTTTCGGTTCTCCCCTCTGGCCGAAGCCACATCCGGAGAGTCACCCAGGGTGACGAAGAGCTCGAGCGCCCGGCGCCACTGCCCCAGCGACTCGAAGGCGTTCAGGGCCGCATTGGAGGCCACAAGGCCTCCCAGTGACGCGACGCAGGCAGACCACGCGCGTGGGCCGACCACGCGACGAAGAGTGGGTGTTGGTGAAGCATGCTGAGTTGGATTGATGGGCACCAGTGGGAGAATCTTCATTCCCCAGGAACTCCCAACGCACCGTGGCAGCGTGTCCAACATGGTTGTGCAAATATATACCCCAATCAAGTGTCTTCGATGGTGCAAACACAAAAATGATCCCTTGGGATCCTGGCCTACCTCCATGACTCCAAGGTGCTTTGGGTGGGTGCCAGGGGGGTCTAGCTACCTTCTGAGAAGGCGGGCCAGGAGCCCTAGCATCCGCTCCAATAGGCCAATCTAGCGTCTTTTTCCAGTGCCACTCTAGGAAGGCCGCCGGTTCAGTAAACAAATCAAAGAACGTTGAGCACTGCCACTCTCTTTGGCTCCCAAGCAGGGCTTTGATCTCTTGGAGAGTTACGGAGTCGACACTGCCGTCTTGGGGTCTAGACCCGTTTTTGGACCCCCATGCTTTTGCCTGTTGCGCAATATGCAAGGTCTTGAGTGTTTCATTGAACTTGGAAAACACACATGTGTTACCATGTGTTGAGCCTTTCCCTGGAAACAACATCATGTATAGACTGACCTGCCACTTCCTGCCCCTCACTGCTCCTTGCTTCACCAACCATCTGCCATCCATCCAGCCTGGCTGCAACTCTTCTTGGATCATCTGTTGCAGCAAATGCCTCGAGGTCGACTGGACAAAACAGGTCTATGACCAGGGGGACAAAGGCTCCGAAGGCATGTAGGTCCGAAGGCAAGGACCAACTCCCCTGGTTCCCAGCCCTACCACCTTCGAAACGGAGGTATGTTGAAGCCCTCGGGTTTCTGAAAGGTGTGGCATTCTGTGGCTCTCTCATTGCTCATCCACTGAGTCCCAGATCTGGAACCGCCGTTTTGGATACACAAAAAGGAATGAACGCCATCTCAACCACGAGTCAGGAGGAACCGCTGTTTCTGAAAAAACATGCAGCGATTTCTCACGATTGGAACTCAATGACACCCAGGAGTGGAGCTCTGGGTCAATGATCGCAGGAGTTAAATGCAGGATCAAGGGCTCAAAGATATTGTGGATAGTGGAGGAAACCAAACAAAGACCAACAACTGTCTCTGTAAAAGTCTTTGAGTCGGAGTCCTGTGCATCCACCCTGTGCTTCAAAAGCACCAGGATCTGCATCTGCATCCTGTTGCAGCCTTGAGTGATGATACTATACTATGATCTATATATTAGGTTATCGGATTTTCAAGAAAGTACAACATGGTTTAGGTTTCCTGGCTTCAAAGTGCTGCACATTTCCCAGCAAATTCACTGCAATAATGTTTCACTGCAAACAAAAGTTAATATATTTATATATATATATATGTATGAAGTTAACCAAATACACTGAGAGCTCAATCTGAGAGCTCAATCGGTCAGTGAAACATATTATTGCAGTGAACTTGCTAGGAGATGTGCAGCAGTGAAACATTATTGCAGTGAATTTGCTATGAGATGTGCAGTCAAACTTGCGGTGAGTCATTAAGCCGCTAAAAATCCTTTGCGTCCTTCAGCTCGGCGACGAGGACCCTCTCTGTCTCTTTTTATCTAACCCTATGATATCCTATGTGCTGGTACTTGATTGTGCACATACTTGATATATAGAACTTTTCGTAGAGTTTAAACATTTTGCAGCTGCAAGTTGCTAGTCATAAGAACATGTGTTGCTCTAGAAACCACCTGTTCAGGCAAGGTTTACCATATAATCATCAATAACTTAATATCTGACATCTTAATAGCCAGCAATATTCCCAGCACAGCTGGCTGCGGTTCCCAAATGGGTTGCACATATTACATGGCTTAAAAAAGCAACAGCCAAAACAACAGCCAGAAGAGGGTCCAATGTTCAACCCAGTGGTCAGGGTGCTTGAACAGGTGATCATGATCATGGTCTATTTTTGCATTTAGTTCTTCTCAACAAGGGAAACAACAGCACCACAACTCTTGAGCAAGCAAGTTTAGTTCGTCGTCGTATCATCATTTGATCTCAGTCGTTTTAATTCAACCTATGTCTGTCACTACACCTGTGTAGCCTATGTCTGTCCTGCTCTTTCTAAACACAAGGAAGCCTCTCCAGCAGAACCAGGGGTTGTATTTCAAAACAGCAGCCAATAAAGACAGCTAGTGTGTCTTTCTCTGGGCAATGTGTCTGCGACTATCTTTGCCTATGTCTTTTGATGTTTCACTGTTCTTGCCTATCTTCTTGTTCCCTGCGGGCTGTGCTGACCCTTGCTGATCTTGCTTTTTGCTAGTGTTCCTCCTGGCTGATCTTGCCTTCCAACTGTGTTTCTCCTTCAGCATGTAAACAACAAAAACCATGAATAATCCTTTTTTGGCTGGGTTCCTGGATGACTGTGACTACACGTGGAGTCCCCAAAGTACCAAGAACAGTTAAAGGCCAAAAGTAATCAAAAAACATGTCCAATCATGTACCATCATACCCATTTCCTGAGGTGCTAGTGGCCTTCTATGTTTCACCCTGAACTGCTGTCCAAAGTTCAAGGCAATGCGCCACTGCCCAGCACTGCTGCTGGCGGAGATCAGAGTGCTGAAACCTGGGCTTCCCCACATTACAATAAGTGATCGAATTACGGTCAATCAAAGCTTCTCAGTTTGGAAGCAACCACACAATCCAGCTGGAATCTCTATACCTGCGCCATGGTTTGGATGCTGCTTACAAGAAGGCTGCACCTATCTTCAATGAAACGGCAATATCTACTATAGGGCTACATCAGCAGAAAACCTCTTCAGCGACGTTCTGCTTGAGAATTTCTCAGCTGCTGAAGGTCCAACGAAAACGCCTGGACGTATTGAAGTATACGGAGAACTCCCAGGTGTTCCGACCCTTTGGATCAAGGGACCACAAAAACTGTCTATGCCTATTAGGCCAGGAGGTCTCTCCATATTCAAATACACACCGACACTTACGTCTACTCTGCATCGAAGCTCGACTCATCGAAGCTCTTCGTTGTGCCCGCCCCCCTGGCTCTCAGCACCAATGGATCAAAACAGCTGGAGTTGGCCCAGTTGACCTGGAAAAGATCCAAGATCAAGAGGTCAAGATGCAACTGTATCAATCTTTCGAGGTGACCTGTTTGTACCTCGGAAAATGAGTACAATGACAAGTCCCGTCCAGTACCATCAACTGTCTATTAAAAGCCTTAGGGGTGTCCATTGACCACCCCTTAGGGGGGCTATAGTACCTGTGTTATATTTTCGGTACTTTGGAGTGTCCACATGCCGAGTTGTGAGGGCACACTCCGTTTTCCTCTCCATGGCCCAACCGCGCGTTCGCTGTGCAGCCAGGAAAGCTGATCTGACTGGGCTGAAGACACCTGGCGACGACGAACATCGAGGCCGGAGAAGCCACTTGCGACTGGGCCATGGACAGCTGATCTGACCGGGCTTCGACTCGACCTTTTGAGGGTTCCAACCAGATCAACTGGTCAAAGTCACCAGGACCGGTGACCAGTAACCAGCTTTGGAGTCTCCGTTCGTGACCTGTGACCCGGGACTGTGATGAAACATATGTCGAGGACGATCACTTTGAAGGTCCTGGGACATGATGTCGAGGACGCGTCATGGTAGGCAAAGATTTGGCAAGGGCCCAGTGGATGGTGAGATGATGGTTAGTAAGGACCGTTTTCCCCAAATAGTAACATTTGCTTACCGACTGTTACTGATCATTCATGGGACAGGTATATAGAGATGTAGTACTGTAGATACATAGAGATGTCGATCCATCAGGCTAAAAAAACACTTGGCGCGGCTCAACCGGTTTTCGTCGCCTTCTTGCAATAATGGCACCACCTGAAGTCTCAAAGTACCCCCCAAAAAAACACATATACAAGTATACACTCCGTAGAATCATGGAAGTGGAAAACCATATCTTTGTATCTGTGTCTTTTTAGCCCAAACATTCCATGTATGGAATAGGATTAATTCATTTATTGTCATTTGAATGGAGTACATGCTGCTTGTAACTATGAACTATTCCAGTCCCATGGAGTGTCTGGTTAGGGTTCTGTCCCATTTTCCGCACGACCAAGACCTCGGGGTCGAGGCAGTCTTGGTCGCCCGGGAGTCGCCGGAAAACCCAGGTCACAAGTATCAGTCTCTAGACCTAGTTGAGTCTCTAGACCTAGTTGTTGGCTCAAAAACGGAGTAATTACCACCAAAGCCCTCTGGTGAAGGATAAGTTTGAAATGTACGGTGAACCTTTTTCCCACCTGTTGATCTTTAGAGAAACCCATCCCCCGACGTGAGGGGGTTTTGCAGGAGTTCTTTTTCCACGTAAGCATCAAAACTCCCAACAAATGCACCAAGATCCGCACATCTCAGGACCCATCGACACCCCTCTTTCCCCCCACATCACGGTGGCCACCCGCCACACCTGCGCAGCGCGGCGAAGAGCTCCAGCGCCTGCGTCCAGCGGGCCGCACGCGTCAAGGCGTTCAGAGCGCCGTTGAAGCTGATCACATCTGGGAGGATCCTGGCGCATGCAATGAGGGAGCAGCGACCTTGGGAGTAGAGGAAACCAAGTGCCAGGTACCAAATGTAACTTGGTTTGTATACGACACGTATGTTGGTTGTTGTTTTTAATCTACAATCTATGGCTCCAGATGGCCTGTAGCGCAGGGAATCTCAGAACCCCAGTGGGGAAAATCCCACGTCCGCCATGGCTTCGGTGTTGGCACTTGATAGTGGCCAGTGCGGTTGACTTCTCACGACTTGACGGGACATCTATATGGGTGCGCCAGCTTTCCAAGCCGGGCGTGTGGTCTTGTGTGCTTCGAGGATGGCCTCCACCAGACCATGGAGGAAGATCTGGGGCTGTGCAACTTAGAGGCTGGTATGGGTGGCCAGATCCACCCTTTGAAGGAAGTACTTGTTTTGTACTTGCCTTGTGCAACAAAAAGGGCATTGATTGTGATGGAGCCAGACACCATGGAGGAGTGTGGTGTTCTTTTCAGCCAGCCACGGATTCGTGAGATATGCTGTGGTGCTTTGATAGCTTTCTTTATGAGCTTCGCCTGTGCGCCGTGATAGCTTTCACCATGTGGCGTGGTGGTTTGGGGCCATTTACTTTGGCGAATGCAGTGCAAACGAGGATCCGATTGAATTTGTCCATTGATTTGTCGTGAGAGTAGGTAGCTGCATCGATTGACAGCTGGATCAGACAGTACAGACAGAGGAAAGTTTTGCTAGCTGTCATTTGTTTTCCACGTCCTTTTATGTTTTATTATCCCGCGTTCGAGAAGTGGGGTAAGGTCGCCCTCCTGTCAAGAACCTGAAGCATTTTGTATAGGGCTCCTTTGCTATAATCAGGCGCCCTTGAAATTGCTAAAGGCTTGTCTGGTGTGGGCGCACTTGTGCAGTTGCAAGAATTCGTAATTAAGTGCACATGCGGTCACAGGCACTGCCGTCGGCTATCGCAAAAAAAAGATCTACAATCTATATTGTCATAAAAAAGAGCAATTATAGATAATTTATATATATATGATGTTATATGACTTATATCTCAACTACACAGAGTTAAACAGTCTGTCATAACCAACTTGTATTGATCCACCTACCAGTAGAAGGCCATGGACCAGGGCGGATCTGGTCGGATCAAATGTGGTTTTGGATGCCATGTGAACATGGATACTTTTCACAGTCCAAGTGAAGACGCCATAAGACGCCTGTCCAGCTCTGGTGCTTTGCTTCGACCAAACCCCGGAGTCGAGTCGAAGCAAACTTCAGGACTGGTCCATAACAACCAAGTGTTTTGAATGGCTCCAGGATCCTTTTTTTCTAAGCTCTATATGGTCTATGTTGTCGAATCATTGGGAAAGTATCTAAATGTATAAAAGCTTGCTTTTCTATTGTTCTGCTATGTTCTGCTATTGCTGCTCTTTAAGATCCTTGTTCAAGCTCTTCTGAGGTTTGCTTGATTTCAACTCATCACTACTACCACTACCACTATAACTATGTACTACTAATATACTAAAAGTAACAACATGATTGAAATAGCAATAACATGTAAAACCTAAATAGTTTTGGTGGGCTTGACTCTATCCAGTCTCCCTCGTTTGGGTAGGGGAGGGGGCTGTTTAACGTGTTTAACTATATACCAGGACCTTCAAAGTGACCTTTTGAGATCTCAGAATGAGGTCACTTAGACCCTAAAGAGGCCACTTAGAGACGCCAAAGAGGTCACTTTGAAGGTCCTGGTAAGTAGCGTATTTAAGCGGACATTAGTAGCCAGAATGAGTAGATGGGGTATGATCAGAACTGGACTTCTGAAAAAGACCTCGCATGCCCTCGCACTTGGCACACTTCTGTGACACACTTTGCGCGTTCAAACACACTCTATATTAGCGTCTTCCCTGGGTTTTCGACTCCCTGGGTCATCCAACCGTCGCAAGCGACCATGAGGGGTTTCCCCTGCAGCGCTGCTCGGTCATCCTGCCGTTCCCGCCGTTGCCGCGCCGTTCCCGCAGCTCCACACATGGTTTTTTCGTCCTTGTGACCTTGATTTTGAGTCGGTTTGTAGCTCCTTCGTCTGCATGGTCCGACCAGGGACAAATTGACTGGCCAGCCGATCTGAAGGATTAAATGGATTGGTCTCAAAGACTGAGGACTGAAATCCAGACAACACAGAGAGTTTCTCCCAAGGGTATCTTCCTTTAAGAATTTCTTCCACTTTTGCAGGGTTTGTCCTGCTCCGTCTTTGACACGTGCACCAAATTTGGCCACGCGCACTGGGTACAGCGGCTACGGCGCGGTCGAGATTCGCGCGCGCGGTCCCAAAAAAGTGATCGAAATTACTTGACAAAGCTCCGGCGTCCGAGCCGTCAGCCACTGTCAGCTCACCCGGCCCCATGTCAGAAACCATCAAAATATGCAGAATGCCGTTCTGGTGGCACGGAGTTTCGTAAGAACATCAATCAGATTCTTCATGTTACTTTCTCTGAGACCCAAAAGCGATTCAAGGCCAAAGCATACATAATGATCAGTGATTGATTGGCTCTGGGCAGCCAAACACTCCACTCAATTGGGGTCTAAATACCACCCTTCAAGTGTTCGATTTAAATAGACAACTGACCTTATCGTGACCTCTGACTCAGCTGCAGCGCATCACCCAAGCACAAACACAACAGCAGGCAACAAACCTATGACACTTACAACACAGAGCGACTGCAACCAAAATAGGTGCAAGGCACACACACACACAACACGACAAACAAGAAGTAATTAGTGACACATACAACACACAACCAGCAAGTCATTCCGCAAGTGGCTGACACCGCAGCCGACACCACATCCCAGCCATCCCAGCCATATTGCTTGTTGACTTTCACTTAAGTATGTGGATCCAGCCGCCCTATGGATCCGCCACCCTCGTTTCGGTACAGTGATGTGTTCGAAGGTCTGGTACACCCTACGAAGAGCCTCTGGGCGGGTGGGGTGTCTCGCGCGGTCACGGTGGGATCTGTGGCTGGACTGGAAGCCAAGCGTCTCGGGTAGATGTCTTTCTCGTCTTTCTATCTGTTGTCCAAAGAGTTCAAACGTCAATCCAATCAACCTATATGTCTAATATATTATAATGTATTATTTGGAGGATATATCCGTGGTTGTGGAGGTAGACTTTTGGGCAGTTCCATCTAGCTAAAAACAACCTGTAGATCCATACGCTGGGATTTCTTCACTCACCATCTCCAAGTCCCTCCTCATTGCCAATGGCAGTTTAGTTTGGTCTGTGAAGGAAGAACGCCCGAGCTTCATCAAGGACAGTGTCGAGTGTCCAGGCCTCTTTTGTGCCCACATTGGGAAAAGAGTCGAGCTAGACTCGAACACATCAGTTGAGTTGGGAAGTTCTCCTTTTGTTCAAGAGATCCCGGAAGTAATGCAAACATTTCAACGGCTTAATTTCAGCTGGCGCCAGCAGCGGAACGGAACGCCGCTAAGAACTTGCTCGCGGCGGAACGCTGGCGACGGCCAGTGGCAAATCACCTGGCCCTACGGCACAGAAGAGGAAAAGTGCCAGGCATTTCCGTCCTGGGCAACTGGGCGGTGCAAGTCCAGAATGAGGTTTGTACACTAGAAAGTGGAACTCTAACCAGCACCCTTAAGGTATGTTCTGCCCTGAACATTATAATTACTGTGTCTTTTTGGATACAAGTAAATAATTACTGTCTTTTTGGGGTGGGTTGGGTCATGTCCCTCTCTTTAGAATCAAACCGACGACCCTCTCGACGTCTTAGGCCGCATCCAAGACTCGTGCTTGCCCACAATCAGCCGGGCTCGCCCGACGACGTGCTGGGGCGCCCAAACGCCTGTCCAGCTGTGGTCCACCTGGGAAGGATCCGCATTTGGAGCACACCGCAGGGAAACGGGAGACGGATGGTGTCTTTCCCGCCTGAAACGGAGTGCTTCATCCAAGCGAAGAGTGAGTTTTTATCCGTTTTTGTGCGAGAAATCTGGGTCTTGGAAGAACAAACGCAGTGCATTACAGTGCCAAGGACGTTGGCCTTGGACAAACACCCACTAACACCCAGAATTGTTCAGGGCTCCGGGCTACTTGGTGGTTTCTTCCTATGCTCAGCACTGAGAAGAGCAGAATCTCCTATAGACGGACGGGCTTCACCCTTTGCCAACTATAGGCGGAGCCTATAAGCACCTCCACAATTAGTCTACAACCAAGGGATTTATGAAGTCATGGCAAACTTCCTTTTGCCTCTGACCATGGAAGTTTGGACAGAAAATTAAAAAACGGCCAATTTTTCAGCATGTTTTCAGCATGTTTTCTGCAGGGGAACTTGTAAACCTCTTAAGTGGTGCGGTGGGTTTCACCGCAGCAACTCCAAGGATCGGTCAGTTAAGCACTTGACCAAACGACGACCCCGACGGATTCCCCAAGGATCGGTGGAGTGTGGGGCACGCGAAGAGTAGAAGTTGGAGGTATGAACCCGGGCAAACACAAATTGGAGGTTTGATGCTGCCTAGGGAGGAGATGTGATGCATTTCCAGGCACCTGAAAAACCAACGGCTTGATTCATTTGAAGCTTCTCCCACATTCAAACATCACACATATAAGTGTCTGCATCTATATGTTTGGAAAGCATCAGCTTAGCAAATATGGTTCTACAATGTTCATGAAGACCTCGCTTTCTACCGGTCACCGTCCTTCTCTCCCCCGAACCACCCACCACCCTGCAAGTTTCGCCCCCACCGTCGGTTGGTTGGCCATGGCATTGTTCGACTCCACCTCCACCGGGTAGTTCGCCGCTGGAGGACCATTGGGACGGAAGACATGGGTGATCCTGGGCTCCGCTCCGGCCGCGGGTGGAGGGGCTTGGAGGGCCTGGAGAAGGACGCCGAAAAGGAGATGTCCAACGTGATAGATGTTCTGGGTTTGTGCAAGTCATGTATATGTTTCTTATTTTGTTTCTTTAGGTCAAGACATACAGTAGCTGTTCCCTTGGGCAAACTGGTGGGACTCGTAGGACAGTTTCAGGAAGTTTCGCCCCAATCCCTGGGGATCCAGTCGTACCTTGTCAATAGGTGATGTGTATTGGAGACTATTGATGCAGGCGAAGTGAGGCCCAGTCGTACCCTTCTGAGCCAGGCATGTGGAAGAATAGTAGGGGAAGAGAATAGATCCGTGATTCAACAACAAAAACAGCCACCCTCATTCCTTGCTTTCGTCGCACCAGTCACTTGGGGGGGCCTTGCTGGGAGGTTCGATGCAGCAGGCACCGCATGGCACCGCTGTGTATTGGGCGGTGTTGCTGCGTACCATGGAAAATGGGCACAAAGTATCCTGTATGGATCCATTGGGTCAACCTTCTGAGGTACGGTGAGGAAGGAGACACGTTTCTGTAGGTTCGGAGGGTCCAGTCGTGGTCTCCCCCGAAGGTGGATGACTAAGAGCCCCAAAGGTTTTTCGGGGAGTGTCCATTCACCACCTCTTAGCCGTGCTACACCTGTTTTCGCTTCGACCTGTTGGGCCGTCGCCCGGTCTGTCCCGGACACCGGTCTGTCTTCGACAGGGATCTCCTTGGAATCAGTGCCCGAGACAGGTCTCTCTTGATGAACCGTCAGGCCCGTAACCGTGGAGACTTGTTCCCCCTTCTGTGACCACTATATGGCTGTGTATTGGAATAGGAAGATCCACAAGCAACGAATCCTTGGCTCTGCCTTGGCGACATGTCGACATGGGACGACCGACCGCGCGGCGATGTGAGGAGACCCGTACCACGGCGGAGAGAAACACACATATGCAAGGTTAAGAAAAGCACCTGGTCTAAGCCAGAAACAAAAATACATATATATATATATATTATATATATATACCTGAATCTTCCTAGGGCTGCACTTAGAAGGCGCCTCTGACCAAGAAGGCGCCTCTAGGAAATAAGAGGCAACTTTTTTTTGCAAGAGGCGATTCTTAGTTTACATAGATTTCTTCCCAATTATGTTGATAAAAACATATGATACCCGTGATAACAATGAAACTTGTACACTTGACATGTATGAAAACACCACATTCGATAAACCATTCATGTCAATGGCTTTTACCTGAACAATACTTACTTGAGGGAATTTACACTACTAGGTCGAGCATGTTTTTTAATGGTCGAAGCGAAGGCGTTGACCATTCTTGGAGGTGTAGGACCGAATCCACAGTTGCTTGCTCTCCACTCGCTGTCACCACTGCCAACCGAGGCGCGCGGGGTTGGGCCGATACTCTACGCCCCCTTGGAAAGTGCTGCCCGAGCGGTCCTGAGGGAGGACGTCGAGGACGTTGGTCGTCTGCCCCAACAAACCCGACGGACCGCTGGCGTACGGATGCATCCAAAGGGGGAGAAGTCCCGTATGCCACCACAACCTGCTTGCCCTCAAGTAGGTGGCAAGGCACCTGTTTGCTGTCCTTCATGAAGTGCCGTGCTCTTGCTGGATTCATCTGGAATCCCGTAGAACTCCCCTGTAGCTTCTTGCTCCTAGTAGCGATGCCCTTGTTACATTGTTACTAGTAGCGATGCCAGGGCTACTAAAAGCGTCCTTGTTCCTAGTAGAAATGACCTTTGTTACTAGTAACTTCTTAATTGTTCATAGTAGTCTGGCCAGGAGCTACTAGTAGTGACCCTTGTTAGGGATTCTTAGGGAGTCCGATGGATTCTGCCAAAGCCGTGCCCTCCACGGACGGCGACTCCTCGCCACACCGCCGTCCGATGTCAAGGGGCCCAGTGCCCCCGCTGTTCGTGGATATGACCAAAGAGGTGCACCTGGAAGGGCGACTGCGACTGCGACTATGATGCCTCCCACCGGAATGGCCAAGCAAATACAGATAGCGATGGCCACTGAGAACACCTAGGTGTTTTTGGATGCACCGAAGGATCCGAACCGATGGCGGCAAAGGATCCTTTCAGTGGAGGAGACGGACCGATGTCGGGCGGACGGAGCAAGCTTCTGCACAGACGGTAGAAGTTCACGTCGTTTTGGCTTCCGTTCGGTGCATGGTTATTGGATGGACAGCTTATTGAGTTGGAGGGTTTACATCATTAAGTTCTCCATTGGACGGTTTACACGTCGAGCCGGTGAGCGTGTGATGGCAGCGGCTGAGTGGTAGCGGGGATACATACACTGCTATGGGCAAAAGTGATGCTTCTTGAGGAGCTGGAGGCAACACGTGATCTTACCCCTGAACTCTGGTGGTTGCAACACATGAATGCACATCAAGTTATATCTGAAATCTGTGTCGTCATGGTCCGTTGGTCAACAAAAGGTCCTTTGTATAATACAGGATATTTATCTAGGACTGAAAGGCCCTGCAGATTTTGAGCTGTGCTGCACCTGCCACACAGAACGATCCGTTCGGAAGAAACTCCAGAAATTGAGATGACCCCTTCATGCATGTGAATGAAGCGGAATGAAGAATCTACCTCGACCCGACCTCATTCATAGAAAATGGGACGTGTGACATGACCGTTAACAAAAGTTGTAATATAAATAGCGTATACATAATTTGATGATAATATATTAATTATGCACTTGTCCAATTTCCGAGGTACGAACTGAGACTGCAGGTAGGAGGATTTTCACTCTGACTCGATGGCGTCGACAAGCAGCGACCATTCATGTCTCCCAATTTGAGGCTGCACAACAACTGCGTCCATCTTCTTTGAATTGGAAGGCAGCCATAAGTACATTATTATGGACCAAACCTTCCTCCAGAAGAAAGTCTTTGATCGTCTTTTACATTATTTTACTATGCTGTTTTCAAAGGACTAAATTCTCAAGTAAATAATCTGTTCTATTATTTTCTATTATCTATATTATATAAATACTATTACTAGACAGGTATCTCACCTCTTTTTAGCCCTTCACGTCCTCCGGCACCACCGGACCGACCGTCCTTTGACCTCCCGCCTTCGGCTTGGCGCGGTAGATGGCGCCCAAAAGCTCGTGGCTGGAACCCCAATGGCCTCCGCCTGCGAGATTCAGAGTGGAGATCAATCGGATGCCGCATTCAGTCTGGAACATCCCGACGACTGAACTCCTGGAACATCCCGTGGCCGCCAGTTTTCTGGGACATGGCCCGAACTCCAAAAACTAAGTGCTTGTACTAGGTCTTGTACGTATTCATTTTCCGAAGTAGAAAAGGTCGACTCCAGGTTCCTCACGTCAGCTTGCACACGTCGGGGTGGGTCACACCGACCACTGAGTCACCGGTCCCTGAAGAGGCCAGAGGCGTGGCACATGTTTTCTTCCTTGAGGTTCATTGCTGGGGTTAGTCATCAGGTGTCTGCATGGTCCTACTTCAGATGGCATATGATGGCAGAGGCGTGGCATGTAGCGAAGTGAGAGGGCATATGATGGCATTTGTACAGAACCGCAGCATCCAATTGACGGCTTAGTGGATAAAAGGGACGTCACACTCACACAAATCATATAGGTGTGTATCAAAATAGGGAGACCTCCAAAAGATCCTGTGGAAGAAGGAACATGAACCCAAACCAATATTGGTTGGGGATCTCCCTATTAAACAGCACACCCATATATAGAGCATATCTGTAACTGGACCTGGAGTCCACCTGTTTGTACCTCAGAAAATGGGTGTAGTCTAGTCGTACTTTTTTTTGTTCGGGATCCAATCTTTGTTCGGGTACTTCACTAGGAACAAGAGGCTACTAGGGGCTCCTGGCATCGCTACAAGGAGCAAGGACGCTACTAGGGGCTTCTGGCCATACTACTAGGAGCGATCGGACGCTCCTGGCCATACTAGGAGCAAGGGCGCTACTAGTTACTAGGAGACTATATATAGGAGCTTTTGGAATGTTGGGAATGTGTCGAGCAAACTCAGCAGTTACGGTGACCGGACCCAGGTCCGGTCGAGCTGGCGACCCCACCGTTCACGGGTAAACCTTCCAATGTGGGTGGATCCTTCGATGAGGGATCACCGTTCAAGTTGCTTTCGTGTATATAATATATAGATCTCCAACTTTCCCAAGATCAGATGTTTGTTTTTTTTTGGTCTTTTCTCCGGAGGTCTTTCACATGATGTCTAAACCATCTAAACCTTCACGGCGACCGAAAAAAAGAACAAAACACACATTAAACAAAAACATCACGAGTGCCATAACGATAGCCATAGCGAATGGAATGTGTACCCGTGCCAAAGGTCGGGACGTTAGCAAATTCGCATTGGATTCTGTATTCCTGTATTCCTTTATATGCAGCCAAACTCTGGAGTAACAAGGCTAGTGAGATTCCAAAAAGGATTCCTGGTTGGTTGTTTGAATTGAACTCGATCACTTGAAATATGTTTGTCGGGTTCAATCATCCCGAGTATAGATTGAACATCTAATTAAAAAAAAAATGAAACCAGCACCCAGATTCTGCCAGTGGTCCAGTTCCTAGCTGTATTTTGTGTTTAAGAGCATGAGATTTCCTCACCCTCTTACAGCACCCACGAACGCGCTAGCGAAGGCTGTAGCGGGTTCTTGATGTCGTAGTATGACCACAAAACTTCTGGTGTAAGCAAAGGTTGTTCTTACAGAACATTAGACTTGCTCCTGGGATAGTATTGTAACTTCCTTAAAACCCTCACTCACTACTGCTAGAGAGTGCTGCACGGGACTGGCATGATCACACCTCCTTACAACACCAATTATATTTTACTGTAAAATCACCAAACAAATATACAATCTCGCGTATTCTAGGGTCCGTGTTCTTGGTCCGCTGAAGCAGGTTGCAATTGATGTTCTGAATTGCTCCCCCCACCACTGACTAGTCAGCGTGAATCGTAAAGAGGGAACATGATAACAAAAGGGAACTGTTCATGGGAAGTGGAATGAAGCGACAGCTGGGTACTTTGCTTGGTGCTTCCTTGTTTGCCCTGGTGGGACCAGCGGATTTGTGGGACCAGAAGGGGATTCACCCATAGGGAAAACCAGGTTTGGGAGCTCCGGAGCCATCCAGATCGCCACTGGGTCGGCTAGAATGACCCTGACTTGTGACCTCCAGCCACACCCAAACAGGATGATCCTGGTATGCATGTGATTTAGATATTTGCAACCACCAGGTTTCGTAAACCCTGAGGCCCTGATCGGATTTCTGAGGTCTCCCAAAACACCCAAAAACACCCGTCAGAAAAAGCTTCGCACACAGAAAGGAGCCCAGGTGGAGTTCCAAGACGTCCATATATACGTTGCTAGCAGTCCCGTAGTTCTGGAAAAAGCTTCAGCTAAATGCACCCTCAGACTTGATATATGTTTCCACATGTTGTTTCGATATGTTCAACTCTATCTTTGTTTTTTTCTCTCTCTCTCTCTCTGTCTCTCTCTCTCTCTGGCTCTCTCAGTGGTGAACCTTTCACACCAGGTGCCGTGGGGCACTCCATGCTGCCCAAGGTGCCGGTCATGTCAAAGATACCAAAGGGGCCATCGTGGGTTACTAGGACATCGACGCCGGCCGGGACGTCGTCATAGGCGTTGCCAGACCTGCGGTCGCATCTGGGATCCGCGGCACTAAGAACATAGGAGGGTGCACCTTCTAAGGAGGTACTTGGATCCTTAGAGAACAACTAAAACATACTAATCCCCAAAACCTGAACTAGATAGATATAGACTATAGATCTCATAGACTATCTGACAAATATCAATTGTGGGGATGCAAATCTTTTTTCGGGTGTTGAATTGGAGTTTTGCCCATCTGGAGCACCAATGCATGGAGGCAACACCAACCTGAACCAATTAATTCTTGCCTCCCCAATCCCGTAAACCTCATGAAATCCCATGAAGTAAGAGACGCAACATTCCCAACACCCTCCACCCTCTGGTAGGACAAATGAGGTTCCAGGCTGAGTCCCTTTTGCGCTCGCACAGGTAAGTACAAGAGGCCTCAGGTTCCAAGGCCTTTCCCAGTCTCTTGGAGTTGATTCCAAGGCCAGTTTGCTTTCCTTCCCGAAAGTACCCAGAGTACCCTGTCACCCTGAAAACATCTGAAAACCACCCCATCAATCTCTTGAAACACCTCCTGAATCCTTTCTTTCGCTCTCAAGAGGCCGTTTCTTGGACCAGACATCCAAGTGGCGCCGCATGCCCCCCCCCAGAACTCCCTTCCCTTCCGCCTGGAATCGCCCCGTCGCGCATGCCAGCCAGCGCCCCAGATCTTCAATCCCATCACCTCCACCAACCTCGAGGAGATCGATCGACACGCATGCGGAGAACCGGTCCCTGGCACCTCTCCATTTACGAGCACCTCTCCCTTGAGCCCAGGGTCGGAGAAGGCGTCCAGGCGTCCAGGCACGGTCCAGGCGTCGTAAATGACGGTCAAAGTCCGGTCGGGATCATCCATGATAATCCTCTCAACTAGCGGGGCCTCCGTTTTTAGGCTGAAAGGAAGGTCTGACCCCATGCAAGGGACCTCGGTTTTTCGGTGGTGAAGCCTACTGCTCACAAATGTGAATTGCAGAAAAGGATATGACAGGGTGCCAGGCTGCGATCAATTCTGTTCCAGGACCCTCCAGCCACTGTTTCCTGCCTCGTCTGGGTGCTTGAACTGCCCCCCCCCCCGTGGGAGTCATCAAAGGGCTCCTCCAATACCGGCCACTTCTTTAGAAGCGGCTAACCATCAGCTGACCCTGTCTGCACCCAAAGGTGAAATCCCATGAGCCACCCGTGGCACCAAAACGGCCCCACCCCTGCGTGTGGTGATGATTTTTTGCACCCTCTTTACACGGTGGTCTCCATGAACACCTCGGGCGCCTAACCCTGAGCGTTTTTGAGGGAATGAACCCTTGAATGTACCTGAAGCTCTTTGCTCTAAACAACAAATAACACAACAAAACGCAGAAGGGTGTCAACCCCTTTCTACAAATGAGTGCTGAAATTCATCCCTCCAAATATCTCTATTGTCGCGGTACCTCTAGTTGCATGCCGCGTACCGCAGGAAGGTCTCACCGGAACTCGCTGCAAACCAAGGAGCTCGTGATTCAAGACTTTGGCGTTGGTGATCTTGCCTCGAAGGGTCGGCCGCACGGACGGTCGCAGTTGACGCTGGCGGAGAAGAATCAACTGCGCGAAATCTCGCATCCAGCGAGCGTCAATAGCAATAGAAATACCACGGTCTATTTTGTAATATCTCCTCAACAAAAACAGGGAAGGACAAACCGTGAGTTTGCTCATCAAGTCTCCCAGCCAATCGTATGTCGGATGTCATGATGTTAGTCTGTTCAAGGCACGGTGCCAAAAGCTTGCTTTGGTTGCGAAGTGTCAAACAATTAACAAACACAATAATAAACACATGAAATGTTCCTCTCACTGAAAAAGAAAAAGAGCAGCTCCAAGGATAGGGAAACCTCCTTGGACCTCTCCGCGGGGATGAACACCTATCCGCCATTGCCTATGGTTCTGTCCGTACGTGTGTCCTGGGCTATATATATATACCATCCAATAGGAATTTCCAGGGTGAACTCGACAAGACCACGTGAGACATCTTGAGACATAGGTGCAATTGGCAAAACGATTGACACACACACAGCACACTGGCACATCGGTCTGATTGTTCTTCCTTACTTTAGAGGGTATCACAAACAAATTGAAATACATGCTCGACTTTTCGGCATCCATGAATGTGCCCTGTCCTCCCTAAAAACAGTAGAGGGTTCCCAACCTCATCGACTCAAACCGTGAAGTCGCGAAGTCGCTTCCAAGTCGCTCTGGAAGTATTCAGGACTTTGAGCCTCTGCTTGAGACATCCATCCGCGATTCAGGCGCCAGTTGGTGTCCCAGAAGTCGTGGTTCCCCGCGATGATGAACATGTGCCTCAAGTCGCGACGGAGGTCTGTCTGAGATGGGACACAGGTGGACATGGGTGGAAGGCGTATTGATCGACGTCCTATCGTTGCTGGGTCTACCCTGGTAGCTTCTTGTTCCTAGTAGTAAGGCCAGGAGCCCCTAGTAGCGTCCGTGCTCCGGATGAGGAATGATTCCGAAGCGAAAGTCCGAAGTCCAGTTCGACTCAATTTTGCCCAACCAAAGTCCAGGAATGTCCAGGAAACTCCTGAAATCGGGTCACCTAAAGACCATCAAATACCTGGCAGCCTCGAAGTTCAGATGGAGTGCAACTAGCTTATAGTCATGTCCCCATGTTCCAGGGTCCGAACTGGAGAGTCCAGCCTTGGAGGCTCCAGGGTCTATCCGTTGTCAGACCGAGAAGAGGCCTCCAAACAGGTGCCTTGCACTGTGCCGGGGAACTTGATCAAAACGATGCAACATAGCATCGCAGTGCCTCCAATGAGAAGTAAAATAAGCACCAAGCAAAACACAACCAAGCATGGCAAAGCTTCACACTCAAAATAAGAGCCAATTTGCAGGACATGGAGGACACCAACGGCACAACATTAGGCACCAACACCATGGCGATGTATATTGTTTCTGCATGACCCAACGCCATGGCACTCGTGGTTGGCGGGCCATTTCTCAAAAGAACCAACGCACCCGGATTTCTCCACGTTGGCCACCAACAAAGGTTGAAGGACCCTATTATCCCATGGGTACCCCAGTGGGGTCCTTCAAGGTCACTTAACCCCTCTTGCCAGGTCGCTGGCACTGAAACTTGCACCAAATTGCCCAAATTGCACTGAAAAATAGCTGGGGTACTCATGACACGTTTTTGGCCAGGTCACTGGTACTTGTCCTTGATTTGACCCAGCCAGTCGTTGAAGTCGCCCAGCTCCGCGTCGTTGCCCACCTTGGCCACGTCGCCGGAGTGGATGAAGATGTCGGCCGCCGGCCTAAGAACGGATCGCATGGAGGTAGGAAGAAAGGCGAAGCCGGGCCAGACTGTTGTTCAAAATGATAGAAGAGTAAGAGTTCTTCCATATGTTTTTTACAGTGAGAGGAAATGACTTAACTTCAAGAACATCATATTGAAACTGGAAAAAACATCTGGAACCCAACAAAAAGAATGACCTCACCCTGCATTGGGCTAGGATCACCTATGGTTCCGGAGTTCTTGCACTGAAATGATTCAGGACTCTAAACTGGCACAGAAAGCAACGACACGGTGTTGGACCCTCGTGACAATCGAAAAGAGGTTGTTCAAGCCGCATGGCCCAGATTCACAGCATCACTACCACTAAGACTCAGACTCTAGTTCCTGGATGTTCCTGGAGACTTCAACTACACCTGGATTGAGTTCCAGCCATGTCCCACTCTTCAGGAAACGAATTGGAGACTCCAGGTTGCTCAACACAAGAATCCATGGGTGTCCAACGGAAAAAAAAAAAACATGGACCTTTGGTGTGGCCCGTCCTACGTCCTCCAGTCCGTCGGAAGAATTATGGTCTCACGTCCGAGCTGCAAGTCTCCTGTCGAGCGGTGCAAGCTGTGGGTATCACCTCAGCTGTGTTCTACAGCGGTGGCCGTCGTCGGCAGTCCAGCTGGGTTGTAGTCCGATCCCCGTCCCGTTCTGGTGAGCAAATCCACAAGTGACGCCATCTGGGCCCGACAAGTCACCCACTGCAACTTATATATAATGTCTGAAAAAGCTAACAAAGGAGGCCTGTTGGAGGGCTAGTAGACGTGTTTGATCAACGTTTGATCATTTTGGCCTTGTCCTTCCCTTTCCCCTTTGGGTCAGCCTTGCCAGCCTTGCCCATTGGCGTCATCCTTGTTCTCCTATGTCCTCGTGCCTGCGGTCTTCCAGTCGCTGGCACGTGACTGTCAGTTGTCTTCACCCCCTGCTAGTATAATTGGGTGTGTATTGAAATAGGGAGACCTCACAGGCAAAGACCCCTGGAAGTTTCGGAAGAATGACCAGTCTACCCACATATTATAGATCACAGTTATAATGATCAATATGTAACTGGACCTGGAGTCCACCTGTTTACGCCTCAAAAAATACATGTAAGTACCTGCTAGTATGATTCAACATGCATCTTGGCAAAGGACTTCCCACAAGCCCGCTCAACGCATCGACGCTCAACACTTTTCGTCAGATAAGAAAAAACGACGTTTTTTGGGGTTCTGTGTCTATGAATAGCCCCCCCAAAAAGAGGTGCATTCGGCCTTTGTTGCTTCTCCTATCTGGCGAGCGAAACTCGTGGATCCGATCCATCAAGGCCGGGATCAGCTGGGATCCCTCTGGACCGAATCACCACCAGAGCGAAGCTGGTGGGTCGCATTTGCGAGTACCAGGATCAACCCCATCTACCAGGAAGGTCACGCATGGTCAAGGGAGCCTCACTGAATCATGGTTTGCTTCATAGAGCCCCCTCCGTCTGTAAGACACAACCATTGACGCGCTCTCCGAATGCTTCGTGTCCGCCAAAAGGCTCACGTGGAGGATGGTCACCACTTGCTGAGTGCGTCGGACCTTGAGTCCTGTAGAAGGACCGATCGTCGGACCTTGCGCAGTGCTGGAGGTGTTCGTGTGGTTGTCAGCAGCCTCAGTAGCCTCGGTGGTTCGGTGGGCAGAAATTAAACTCACAAAAATGAGGAACACATTATGTGGATCCTCTTGGAATATCTGAATAGCGTTGTTTTTGATTCCATCCTAGTAACTATAGAGTATAGTCTAGTTCTTTAAACATTTTCAGTCTATATAGCCAGGATGTTGCTTGAGTCCTTCGGGAGATCTGGCAACGGAGTTGCTTCACTGACTGGCCTGGCCAGTCTGGACACTGCGACTGACCTGAATGTGCAACAAATGCCAACATCATATTGACACATGAACAGATGCCTCTTAATACCGTTTATTGAAAAGAAACGTCTGACCATCTGTCTTTGAACCATTCTTGCTTTCTTGATGCCCCCCGGACCCCCAGCTTCAAAGTGGTGGGACATCTCTCCATGCTGAAGCCTTCAAAACAAAACTGCCATTTTGGATCATGTTGGTTTAAATTGCGGGATTGTACAAAATAGTACATAACAATATTGTTATTGGGGTTCAAATTCAAGGGGGGGCTTGATTGCCAGACTTGGACATGTGATGGGATGGATTGCTGTTTTTCTTGAAGAACCCGGTATAGCTGTGTTGTTGCGACCTAGGGAACAGTGGCAGACTCTCACCCTTGCAAGATGAACTCAAAAGAATGGTTTGTCAACCGGTCAACGTGCTCGGGGACTGCCAGTTCAAACTTGCACCAGGGTCGTCGAAAGACTGCCGCTTGTTAAACACCTTGGGGGCTACCTTGGGGTGATGCAGGATTGGCATTTTGTAGTATTGATCCAAAGGTGATCGTGTCTTTCAGCCCAACCACACTCTGGGTGAAGAGCAAGGCCAAGGCTAGAAGCATCGACATGGCTCCGTGGACGGCGTGTGGCGAAGGCGGCAGGATGTTGCTCTCCAAAGCCCAAAAATGGCTTCGCCCGTTGAAAGAAGGTCGGATGAGGTGAGTGAGGATGTTCATCCCTCCAACTACTATAGACACTGGACACCAGACCCTCAGTACTTGGGGGGGTCTGGATGTTCGGGGACGCCTGAGATCCCTGGGACCTGAGGTGTTCTGGAACCAAATCGGGTCCCGATTTCCAGACCGGGTCGATCCGGGGTCGATCTGGGGTTTCTCAGTGGGTTTCTCACCGGGAAAGGGGTGGGTTTCAGCGGCTGCGCGGCTTGGAATGAACTAGTTGAACCTCACCAAGCCGACTGACTGTTACCCTAGGGAACATGACTAACTTGACCCCAAAAATGACTGGTACTTGTCGGTGCTGGTACCCATTTTCTCGTGTACGAACTGAGACTCCATGCCCGCAGAAAATGTCACAGTCTTCATTCACACACCATTAGGGTCTTAGGGATTTTCTTTGGTGCAACAGGGGTGCGCTTGCAGGATAGTCTGTACCGCCTGTGGACACCATTGGGATTGACTCGGATTGACCAAATCAATCCCCCGCATTGGTGATGCAGGATGTGGTCCAGAAATATGTTCCCTTCTTCAAGGAACCATTTGTGCAAATCTCTAGTTGTCAACGCCGTTGAGTTCTTTGGCTCATATACGACTATTCATCCAGTTCCCTCCTACAATTTGCAGGTAGGGAACATCTAAAGAAAAACATGATTTTCACCCCAAACACTATGTGATTCCTGCAGATCTTCCCTTAAATCCAGGCACGGTTTTCAATGCAATGGCCGCTCGGGCCCCCCCAGAAAGCAGTCCACCACACCTGACACCCCCGATGAGTTTGCCTCATCAGTTGGATGATTCCGCCAACATGCCCCATTGGGAAGCAAAGGATTTGGATGATTTGGATGGAACCATGGTCTCCCAAGCTCCATGGATCCCAACGAGACAAATCAGCAAGGAAATGGCAAAAGTCCGTTCCTTCTATAGGTACAATGTTTCGTGCACATGTGTTGGATGCAAGTTCATGTAGTTTCAATATACGTGAAATAGTGAAATGAATATTTTGATATATCTTGAATTATGAATCTTGACAACATGAAAAAGGTGGTTAGCTAAAAGTAGCCGCGGGCAGTAGAAATCAGCCAGCCGTTTATCAACTTGAGGGCACCAAGTCAGCTTCAGGCAAAAAAGAAGGTCTGGTCATCTGCCTTTGAAGTTGCAAAGCCGGTCCTCCGAAGCCCGCTCTCATTGAGGAGTTGCAGGGCCTTTGACCACTCAGCTGCTTTTCCTAGTGCGAACGTGCGCGCGCGCTCGCTGCGACAGCGAAGCTGTCAAGAGGTGTGAAACATTTGTCATTCAGTCATCCATCAATGTTCTGTGCTCGTCCAATATACTGCGGATTTGCTGGATAAACAATGTTTTTTTTCAGGATGCTGTCCCCTGATCTACGCAATATAATGAAGAAGACTACAACACAGAAATTGATAATTATACCCCTTTTCTCTGTGCCGGGAAATGAGGTCAACAAATGAATCTCACTTCCAGATCTGTACGCCACAATTAGACTTTGGTTTGGCTAAAACAATGAGCTGATACGCAGCAAAAGAGTCGTGCTCCGCAGCGTCCAATTTTGTTCCGTTTATCTGTGAATTGTTCAATTTGCGATGAACAAAAGGGTGTCAGATTTAACAGAAAAAAAACATAGCAACTACAGTAAACTAAACAGTTAAATTGGCGTTAGCCTGTTGGATGGACATGGACATGGATGGACTTCCCCTCAGATTGTATCCAACAGTCCTCATACCTGATATCCTCACAAAAAAAAGAAGTGCATAGAAGTGCCTGATTTGTGTTTGTGTTCCACCCATTAAACATTCCACGATATTGCCCAGGATCTACTTCAGGGGAGACAAATCGGGATGAAAAGAAATTCTGTATATATACTGTATATATACAGTATAGATTAGTATATGAATAAATTAGTTATATAATACATAATAATACATATATATATATATATATATGTCAAGTGTCTTACTGTAAATGGTGCGTGTGCTGAAACAATAAGGTCACCAACATCCAGACACCTGCAGCGCTGATCGCGATGTTGAAGGTCACCCTGGCCTACGTCGGGTGTTCGACGGCCGACGTCGTTCGGATGTTAGACTGACGGGTGCGACTTCGGATCAGGCAATGGGAGAAGAATGAGAACCCCGAGATTCCGGGAACAAGAACGTGTAATACCAAGACATTCCTTTGATGCCACTCTAAAATACCAAGACAGTTCGCAAGTGAGTGTGGGAAGAAGAACCTGTTTTGGGTTCGGGTCATGTTCCATTTGCGCACAGGTACTTTGGAGGATCCAGCCAGCCATGTCCTGTGACCATTCGATTCCTTCGATTCCTTCCGGTCCACTCCAGAGATCCATTCGGACGGCCGAAATGCTTTTCCATTTCGGCTTATACTCTTAACCTTCATTTCGGGGTGCGAAACAAAGATCCACGTATGTCATGTAGTGTCTATTGGAGACCCCGAAAGGAAGGTGCTGGTATCTTGTTGATATGTTTTGATGATTTGAATCATGTTTGATTATTTGATCCTCTACAGCCTAGTACGGCGCCCCCCCAACACCTTGTGAAAGTCCAAAGTCGAAGACGTGATTCTATATCTCTAGGGCTCCAACTACCTCCTGAGAAGGTGGTTGGGGGGTGGATTACGAGAAGTGCCCCCTGTACAGGATCAACTCAAGTTCGCAAATACAAGAGGTTGCGCATGGGAATCCAAAGCCACGAAAACAATACCTATAGAAACTATAAAGCGTGTAAAGGTGGTGTTCAAGACCAAAACTAATGACTATATATAACGTTTTCTGGGCACATCATGATTTCAGTTGGTCTTCCGCAATTGCTGTCTCGATTGCATGTCCGTATATTAACCAATCATCCGATTCTTTACCCGATAGGTTCCGACTCGTCGAATCAAAGCAACACTCCTTAAGTTGGAGGAAAAAAGGCTTTCGTGACTTGCTCGAGGAGGGCGCTTCCTAGTGAGCCAGTGATCTTCATCTCAGGTTTAGACCAGGGAGCTGAATGCCCAGGGAGCCCGTCCCTCACCTCGGCCACCTCGAGCTCAGGCTGCTTCACCAACTCCTGGCAACATCGAAGGGCTGGTGAAGCGGAGTGGAGAGGAGCAGCGACTCGGTGGATGTTTTTGGACTTGCAGTCTAGTCCTTCAAGAGGCAACTATTACTAGCAACAAGGACGCTATTAAATTATTAGATGGAGGCCATCGCTAGTAGGTTGGAGGCCATCGCTACTAGTAACAAGAACTACTAGTAGCTTCTTGTTACTAGTAGCGGTGGCCTCCACCTAATAGCGTCCTTGTTAGTAGTAGCTAGGGCCAGCAGCTAGGGCTTTGGACTTAGGCTGTGGTCCTTCAAGACGCTTTGTTCAGGCGCATGCTTAGCAACATGTTTTGAGGGCCTACCTGATGATACTTTGGTGCAAGACACATGCTCAACCGCTTCAATTCTGACCTTCAAGGAAGTTATTGCATGGATCTAAACTGACACGAATAGACGAGAAGAGTATATGTTTACATTTTTGAACAAACAACTACTACTCCACATACTTTGGAAACAACAACAAACAAACATAAACAAACACAACAAACACATCCTCAATGGATCTTCAGCATCCTAAAAGGTGGACCATCGAAGATCCGCCCCTGCGAATCTGGGTTTTGTTCCACTCAACAACGCTCCCACCATCTGGAGACCGCATCCTTCACCGGATGCGCGGTCGAAAACAGGAAGACGCCGCGAAAACAAGCAAAACGTGTTGTAAAATGGACGTGTTCCGTTTGGATCGCCTCCAAGATCTGCAAGGCCACAGGCCACACAGCGGCCTCACGTGGAAGGCAGGAAGGTTCAGGACAAGCGTGTGGGTCGTGGATCGAGATGACCAATGGAATAGACCCCTAAGAGATGGTTTATATGCGTTATATGAACCCCTAGACAAAAGACATCTTGGGGGTTGTGCCATCTACTCTGAAACCACTGTAACATGTTCATCTGCTAACGTTGGATTACTGTGATGGGGAAGCTAACTGGAAGGGTACCATAAAAGTATATTGGGTGTTGCACGTCTCATCTTCAGATATGGACATCCTAGATCCACCTGCTCTTCATCGTCCCATGGGGGGTTGCCCCGACCCTCTGGTCACCCCACCTTCTCTGCTGCGCTTGCAACTGCCCCATAGCTGACGGCATCGGGTGCACCACGCGTCGGGTGCACCACGCGAGGCGGAGAAGCTGTGTCACCGCGCATGGATGCGAAAAAGGCTAGAGCCTGGCATGACGCTGTTCGGACCTCACCGGCACTGGGTATAGAGATTTCCATGAGAGGTGCGGGAGCCTCCGTTTCATGTGACGTGCGCCCTGGCTTCAAGAACCCAGGGCGAATCTGGGACCTTGGAGCGGATTCTTTTCAAAGCTTAAGATGCTTCTTTTACAGAAATCGCTCTACCTGGAGCCGACCCGTGAAAAGAACTCGGAGTCTACAGTATGGGGAACATAGTGCATGTATATGGAGGAACATATTGTAATCCTGTTTTTGGGTGCGGGGCTCCACAATTCAGAGTTGTCAGGGAAATTGGTCCGATTTCGTCCTCTGGTGCTTGTCATAGCCATGGTTCCACTCATGAGCGTTTTCGTTTCGAACATCCTCTTAGGATTCGTCCCGATGGTTCCGTGGAACCTTCTTGCAGTTCCCACTCTAGGTGCCCTTTGGACTGGGAGGGGTGCCCAATCAAGCTGACTGTCCGACCCCACAGGTACCCCCCACGCGAATTGAGGTCGCTTAGACTGTAAAGAGGACACTTTGAATTCAGAAGCTGGTTTTGGCTGTGTTGTTGTGGTGGTGGTGGTCGTCGCCGCCGTCGTCGTCGATTGTTGT